CCCACACACACATTTGGTGTCAGAAGTGTTGTGAGAGGAACCGATCGTTTCCTTTGGTGTGTCCAGTACCCTCTCCTTTGGTCCATTTTGCAATCCCACAATGATTTTTTTTTGAGACAGAGTTTCGCTGTTGTCACCCAGGCTGGAACGCAATGGCGTGATCTCGGCTCACCACAACCTCTGTCTCCTGGGTTCAAGAGATTCTCCTGCCTCAGCCTCTCAAGTAGCTGGGACTATAGGCACGTGCTATCACTCCTGGCTAATTTTTTTGTATTCTTCGTAGAGATAGGGTTTCACCGTGTTAGCCAGGATAGTCTCCATCTCCTGAACTCATCATCCGCCCACCTTGGCCTCCCAAAGTGCTGGGATTACAGGTGTGAGCCACCAAGCCTGGCAACAATCCCACAATTCTAAGTCTTACATAGCCATGGCTACGGCTTTAACATTTATTTAGAAGTTTACATTTTGCAAAGCATTTCTGTTGTAGACAATGTGTGGAATGACAGTAGGTGCGGGTAGGAGGAAGGGAAAAAGATGCAGGGCGTCTGGGGTCCCAGTTTGTATCAGGACAACCTGCATTAAGGCCAAAGATGATGGGTCCAGGAATTTACTTTTTTTTTTTTTTTTTTTTTTGAGACAGAGTCCTGCTCTCTCACCCAGGCTGAAGTGCAGTAGCGCGATCTTGTCTCACTGCAACCTCCACCTCATGGGTTCAAGTGATTTTCCTGCTTCAACCTGCCAAATAGCTGGGATTACAGGTGCGCGCCACCAAACCCATCTAATTTTTGTATTTTTAGTAGAGACAGGGTTTCGCCATGTTGGCCAGGCTGCTCTCAAACTCCTGACCTCAACTGATCCACCTGCCTCAGCCTCCCAAAGTGTTGGGATTACAGGCGTGAGCCACTGCGCCCGGCCCATTAATATAATTTCTTAAAAAAATATGAGTGACCATGGCCCATGACAAAACCCTCAGGAGGTCTTGAGAACATGTGCCTAGACCTCCGTTACTGAGAGGTTTGCTCTGAGTGCTGATGCACAAGACTTGGACGAGGCAGGGAGACGGTCAGGAGGCCAACCTTGCCTTGGCAGGGGCGGTGGTGCTGGGTAAGGTGAGCCGCTGGAGGGAAGGAGCAAAGAGGAGAGATTCCACTTTCCCTCCGGGCCGTGGTCCTTTTCTCTATAACATGGAGTTGAAGGTTCCTACTGATGTCTTAGAGAGGACGAAGGTTAAATGAAGGGGCACATGGTAAGCGTTTGGCTCAGAGTAAGCTCTCAGTAAGTGACAGTTGCTGTTGTTTTCCCCCTAATAGTAAAAGGGAGCCCTTACCAAGCTTATATTCTAGTGTGAGAAACAGAACAATTGGCCGGGTGCGGTGGCTCACGACTGTAATCCCAGCACTTTGGGAGACTGAGGCGGGTGGATCACGAGGTCAGGGGTTCCAGACCAGCCTGGCCAATATGGTGGAACCCCCATCTCTACTACAAAACATAAAAATTAGCCGGGCGTGGTGGTGTGTGCCTGTAGTCCCAGCTACTCGGGAGGCTGAGGCAGGAGAATCGCTGGAACCGGGGAGACAGAGGTTGCAGTGAGCCGAGATTGTGCCACTACACTCCAGCCTGGGTAACAGAGCAAGGCTCTGTCTCAAAACAAACAAACAAAACAAAACAAAACAAAACAAGCGGTAAAAATAAAGTGCTAGGATTGAGAGAGGCGATAGGGGGTGCTGTGGCGACATTTGTGTCTCCCCTTGAAATAAAGCAACACATGAATTGATAATTCTGCCCGTCTTTCTGTCCTACTCACCATCCCTCTGTCTGAATTTCTTTGTATCCCTCTGCCTGCCTTCCTCCTCTTCTATTCCTTCTAACAGGAGATTTTAGTGACTGTTGCTTCCTGAAGAACTATCCTATTTCTATTCCTGTAAAATTGTCTCCTGGGAGCAGGGAATCTCCTTTGGGAGCCTGGCTCATTCTTCTGCTCCTGGAAAAATAACTGAGGTCTCTCTGGCTCAGAATGCAGAGTCAAGCAAGGGCCAGGTGCCAGGCGCCAGGTGCAGCCATCAGGAAGTGCTGGGTCTTCTCTCTAGGGTCACTACACAATCCCACTCGCCTCCATGCCATTCCATCTTCCACATGCAGAACAACTGGATTTCATCCATCCCTTTCCAGATCTGCAGGCTGGGACCGTGGGTTGGAAGGTGGCCTCCAGTAAGGAAGGGAAGAGGGAGGAATTGTCTCGCAGTAGAAATAGCCATCATTTCCTGACACTTCCTCTGTGCCACAGGCTTAAAGATCATTTTTTAACATTTGAGTATGTATCAGTAGTATGTCTATGGAGTAAAAAAAAGGGTAATTAGTAAAAATCCCCCTGCCCTTGTCCCGAGATGTATGATGCATTTACAAACAGATACATATATATTCTTGTATTTTTCAACACTTTTTTTTTTTTTGGATGGTGTCTCACTCTCTCCTGGAGGGCAGTGTCATGAGCATAGCTCACTGTAACCTTGAACTCCTGGGCTCAAGCAATCCCCCTGCCTTAGCCTCCTAAGTAGCCAGGGCTGCAGGTTGTATGCCACCACACCTAGATACATTTTATCTTTGTAGAGATGGGGATCTCACTATGTTGCCCAGGCTGGTCTTAAACTCCTGGACTCAAGTGACCCTCCTGCCTAAGCCTCCCAAAATGCTGGAGTTATAAGCATGAGCCACCACGCCCAGCCTCCACCTTGCTTTTTCACCTAATAATATACCTTCTATAAACATAATTTTCTATAGATCTCCATATAGAGCTATGTAATTGCTGGACAGATGTGTCAAAATTTATTTAACCTCTCTCCTGTCAATGGAAATTTAGGCTGTCTCTAGGCAATTGCTGTTGCTACAGCCCTGGGACCTAAGCTCTAGTCTTATATCCCCATTTTACAGATAAGAAAACAGGCTCAGAAAGGTTGTGTCATGTGGTCCAGCTCACACAGGAAATAATCTGAAACCAGGTTCCCATCCAGTGACCTTACCATTAACCACAATAAAAATAGCTTTATCAGCTGGGCACGGTGGCTCATACCTGTCATCCCAGCACTTTGGGAGGCCAAGACCGGCAAATCGCTTGAGGTCAGGAGTTTGAGAACAGCCTGGCCAACATGGCGAAACCCCGTCTCTACTAAAAATACATAAATTAGCCGGCATGGTGGCAGGTGCCTGTAATCCCAGCTACTCAGGAGGCTGAGTCAGGAGAATTGCTTGACCCCAGGAGGCGGAGGTTGCAATGAGACAAGATTTTGCTACTGCACACCAGCCTGGGCGACAGAGCAAGATGCTGTCTCAAAATAAATAAATAATAGCTTTTATTTTGAGCCAGGAAATTACTTACCCACACATGTAATTTTCTGTTTTGGAATAGTTTTAGATCTACAGAAAGCCTTTGAGGATGAGAATGCGAGTTTTCACACGGCCCACGCCGTTTCCCCTACTGTTAACATCCTACATCAATATGGTACATTTTTCACAATTAATGAACCAAGATTGATACATGACTATTAACTGAAGTCCCTACTTTATTCAGATTTCTATAGTGTTTAATGTGTTTTAACTTGTGTTCCAGGAACTGAGTAGCTCAGATTACAGGCATGCTCCACCACATTCAGCTAATTTTTAAACTTTTTTGTAGAGATGGGGTCTCAATATGTTGCTTAGGCTAGTCTCCAACTCCTGGGCTGAAGCCATTCTCCCACCTCAGCCTCCTAAAGCGCTGGGATTACAGGCATGAGCCACAGAGTCCAGCCTCCTTTTTTAAAAAATGACCTTGACAGTTTTGATGAGTACTAACCAGGTATTCTGTAGAACACCCCTCGGTTGAATTTGTCTGATATTTTTCTTGTGACCACAGAGGTAAAGTGCCCTTCTCATCACATCGTAGGAAGAGTGCGTACTAGCCACATAGCTTAATGTTGTTGATGTTAATTAATTAATTAATTAATTTTGAGATGGAGTCTCACTCTGTTGCCCAGGCTGGAGTGCAGTAGTGCAATCTTGGCTCACTGCAATCTCCGCCTCCTGGGTTCCAGAGATTCTCCTGCCTCAGCCTCCAGGGTAGCTGGGACTACAGGCGTGTGCCACCGTGCCTGGCTAAGTTTGTATTTTTAGTACAGACAGGGTTTCATCATGTTGGTCAGGCTGGTCTCTAACTCCTGATGTCAGGTAATCTGCCCGCCTCGGCCTCTCAAAGTGCTGAGATTACAGGCGTGAGTCACTGTGCCTGGCAATGTTATGTTTTTAAGCTGCACACGTACAGAGGTAGAGATGAAGCGAGGCTATAGTGTAAAACGTAAAAGACAAACTCCGCATGTAGTTTTCTCTTCACTCGACCCTGTAGCTCCCCGTCCAGGGCTACCACAGGTAGCCAGTTTCTTGCACTCTCTAGGGAGATAGCTTAGGCGTTTACAAACACGTACAAATATATTTTTTGTTTTCCTTTTTGTTCCCAAATGGTAACTTACTAAATGCACTTATTTGGAATCTTGGGGTTTGTGTATGTGTGTGTGTGTGTGTGTGGATTTTTTATTTTTTAATTTTAGAGATGGGGGTCTCACTGTGTTGGCTATGCTGGTCTCAAACTTGTGGGCTCACACGATCCTCCAGCCTCGGCCTCCCAAAATGAGAGGATTACAGGCGTGAGCCACAGCGCCCAACCGGCTTTTTTCGTTATTTATTTCTTTATTAGATTAGATTAGATTAGATTTTAGTTGCAGGGGGCCCATGTGCATGTTCGTTACATGGGTGTACCGGGTACTGGTGGGGACTGGGCTCCCATTGTGCCCATTCTATTGTGATGTTTTAAACTCAGTGAGACAGCAGGGAGGTCGCTGCTTGTCGCCGCCGCTGGATGGAGCCTTGCCGGATCTCCCGGGCTCTGCAGCCCCTCTCCGGTCTCTGTGCTCGGCTCCTCGCGGGGTCCAGCGGGCGGCGGGCGTGGGAAGGGAAGGCTTGGGTGCCCCGCCCCGGCCTCTGTGATGTCAGCGCCGGAACCTGGAATCCCGGCTCCGCGAGGGAAGGCTGGGGAGGCGGCGGCGACCGCGGGTGGAGAGCGTCCGCGGCAGCCTCTGAGGAGCGCGGGGCGCAGCCATGAGCGAGTCCAGCGCCAGTGCGCTCCAGCTCGGCAGGCCCAGCCGGCAGCCCGCGGTCCATCCAGGTAGGGCTGCGGGGAGCGCGCGCGGGGACGGTGCCCCTGGGGTCCTAGGGCGCACGGAGGGAGCCGGCTGCTGGAGGCTCGGCTTGGCCGCTATCCACTCTCACGCCCCGCGCGGCGCAGGGTGCTCCCGGCTCTGGGGGGCAGCAGGTGGGAAGGGGATCTTTCTTATTCCTGCTCCCTCCTCCAACGCGTCCTCATCCAATCCAGTGGGACCCAGCCGGGCCAAAAGGACACTAGAATGGCAGTCCGGACCGTGGTGGGTTTGTCTTCCAGCTGTTGACCAAGACAGTCTTTCAATAGCCTCATTTGTTAAATGAAGGGATTGCGAGCACTCCCTCCACGCCTAACGTTCTGGTATGAGGTGCCTGCCTCCCAGGCATTTCAGCCTTCACATACAGTTAGACCAACTTGAAACCGAATTCTGCCTTGTCTGTTTATTGCTGTGGGACCTTTGGTAAGTGGCTTGCCTTCTCTGAGTCTCAGATCCTTCAGCAGTAAAATGGGAATAGGATGGTGCAGGGAGTAGCTGAGAATCGTGTGATGTGTCTAGCACAGTGTCTGGCATTGTGGCTAGACAGTCACAATACATGGTAGCCAGCCAAGTATTAGAATCTTTTGTATTGGGTAGAATTACAGGAAAGTATACAACTCCATCAATTTCTACAGAAATATGTACAACTGCTGCCCAGTCAAGACAGAAAAGCTGCCAGCACTCAGGCAGGGTTCCTTGTAGCATTTGGAGCTTAGGAATCTTGCAAAACACAAGACCCTGCCGTAAAGTTTTATCTGCAATGTTTTCTCTTTTTCAATTTTAGAATAGAGATTTAATTAAACCAAGGATGTACAACAAAACATGAGTGTAGATTTGGGCATTGTGGCCTTCAAATTGGATTGTTCTCAATGTTCAGAAGAAAAACAAAATTAGAAGAGACCCACATCAGAAAACAAAAGTTGGGGTGGATTCAATGCGAATTATTTTCTGTCTCAATATTAATACTGCTTATGTCAGCTGAATTTCAGCCTTTCAATAATAGCTTGTCAAGTATTTTTTTAGTTGGTTCCTATTGATCGTCATCTTATTTTAGTGGAATCCATTATACTGAAGATGTCAAGTTCCTCATTTCCCATACAAAGAATGTGAGATTTATCGTTCTTGAATCTTTGCTAAGTGTTTAAGGGTACTTTTGGCATCTTTTTAGGACAACTATAATTGGGCCCTGTAACTAAAAAGTCTCCTATGCCTCTTTGATAGATGAGATTTTTTTTTTTTTTTTTTTTTGACCTTGTACCCACCAACATTGGTGGGAGGCTCAGAAGGGACTGTGTTTGTAACTTTGTAGCACTTTCTAAACAGTGACCTGTTGTATGGGCATTATAGGACAGTCTGTGGGGTGGGGTGGGGGATGGGGGAGGTGACAAATGAGGTCTGGCTTAAAGAATGAGAAGTGTGACCAGGCATGGTGACTCATGCCTATAATCCCAGCACTTTGGGATGCTGAGGCGGGAGGATCACTTGAGCCCAGGAGTTTGAGGTTACAGTAGGCTGTGATTGTGCCACTGGGCTCCAGCCTGGGTGACAGAACTAGACTCCATCTCTAAAAACAGAGGAAGAAGAAGAAGAGGTGTTTATCCTTCCAAATGATAAAACAGATCACTCCCCTGCTTACATAAAACTTTCCCGTGGCTGACCAGGTGCCGTGGCTCACGCCTGTAATCCCAGCACTTTGGGAGGCTGAGGCGGGCGGATCACAAGGTCAGGAGATCGAGACCATCCTGGCTAACATGGTGAAATCCTCTCTCTACCAAAAATACAAAAAATTAGCCAGGCGTGGTGGCACGCACCTGTAGTCCCAGCTACTCGGGAGGCTGAGACTGGAGAATCGCTTGAACCTGGGAGGTGGAGGTTGTAGTGAGCCGAGATCGCGCCACTGCACTCCGGCCTGGGCGACAGAGCGAGACTCCGTCTCAAAAGAAAAAAAAAAAATTAGATGGGTGTGGTGGCATGTGCCTGTAATCCCAGCTACTGGGAAGCCTGAGGCAGGAGAATCGCTTGAACCCGGGAGGCAGAGGTTACAGTGAGCCGAGATTGCACCACTGCAGTCTAGCCTGGGTGACAGAGGTAGTCTCTGTCTGAAAAACAAAAAAACAAAAAGCAACTTTCCAGTGGTTTCTCACTGCTCTGAGAATAAACTCCAGGCTCTTGCATAGCAACCAACAGGATCTGGTGATTCAACCCCAGCCCCTCTTTCCAGGCCCTCATCACCTCGACCCGCCCTAACCTATCCTGCTCCAGCTGCACTGGCTGCCTTCCTATCCTTCCAGCATACCAAGATTGTTTCTGCCTCAGGGCCTTTGCATCTGCCATTCTCTTCACCTGGACTCCTCTTCCTTCTTAATAGGGCTGCCTCTTCCTTTTCCTGTTGGGTCTCTGCTCAAATGTCATGTCAGAGAGGCAGACCTCTGGGGCTGTCTATCTGAGGGAATGCGCCCATCTCTTTCTCTGACCAGTTAGTTACCTTGCTTATTCTTTCTTATTTATTTATTTATTTATTTTGAGGTGGAGTCTCGCTCTGTTGCCCAGGCTGGAGTGCAGTGGCGCGATCTCGGCTCACTGCAAGCTCCGCCTCCCGGGTTTACGCGCAGTTCCTCTGCCCTCAGCCTCGCTGAGTAGGCCTTGGACTAAGCCAGGCGCCCGCCACCCCCTCGCCTGGCCTAATTTTTTGTACTTTTTAGTAGAGATGGGAGTTTCACCAGGGTGTTTAGCCAGGAAGAGTCGCGATCATCCTGAGCTCGTGTGCGCACACATCGGGCCCCTACCCAAAGTGCTGGGAATTGGAAAAACTGAGCCCACCGCGCCCGCGCCTTGCTTATTTCTTTCAAAAGCTCTTCCACCACCCTGAGCTCAATCTGGTTTGGTTAATTTTTCTTGTTTAGTTAGCTAAGTCCTTTTTTTTTTTTTTTTTGAAAAAGAAATGGAGACTCCACTGTGTTTGCCGCCTGGCTGGCAGTGCAGTGGCCCTCGATCTCCGGCTCACCAGCAAAAACCTCTGCCTCCCGCAGGTTCAAGCCGATTCTCGCTGCCCTCCAGCGCTCGGCCGAGTGAGCTAGGACTAACAGGCCACCCCGCCACCATGGCCCGGCTGATTTGTACTTTTAGTAAGAAAATGGGGTTTCACCTATGTTGGCGGCAGGCTCGGTCCTCCGAACTCCTTGACCTCAGTGATCTGCCCACCGTCGGCCCTCCCAAAAACAGTATTGGGATTACAGGTGTGAGCCACCATGCCAGGCTGGTAGCAGTCTTTCCTAGAATGTGGATGCTTTGGAAAACAGGGGCTTTGCCTTGTTTCCCTAGAACCTAGAATGGCATCTGGCACACAGCAGATGCTATATCTATTTTGAATGAGTAAGTGAATGAATGAATGAAGTGTCCTTGCAGCCACACTGGCAGCTGTAACATAGTGGTTGTAAATCTAGACTCTGGAGTCTCAGGTGCAAATGTCTTTGGCCTCTCCTCCAGCCTCCTCAAGGGGCACTCAAGGAAAGAACCTGGAAGGGCCCTGATGTGACTGTGTTTGAACTGACCTGACTGCCAGATGGTGGGACTTGGTCTGGAGCAGGGATGACTTGGAATGATAGAGACAAAACTCAGCAGCCCCTGGAGATGCTCTTGTGGTGGAACTGGACCCTGATTTTTTTTTTTTTTTTTTTTAGAGACAGGGTTTCCTTCTGCAATCTCAAACTCCTGGCCTTGATTGATCTTCCTGCCTTGGCCTCCCGAAGTACAGGGACTACAGGTGCATGCAACCACACCTGGCTTCTTTTGTTTTGTTTTCTTTTCTTTTCTCTCCCTCTATCTCCTTCCCTCCCTCCTTCCTTCCCTCCCTCCCTTTCTCTCTTTCTCTTTCTCTCTTTCTCTTTTTCTTTCTTTCTTTCTTCCTTTCTCTCTCTCTCTCTCTTTCTTTCTTCCTTTTTTTAGTCTTATTCTGTTGCCCAGGCTTTAGTGCAGTGGTGCAATCTCGGCTCACTGCAACCTCCACCTCTCAGGTTTAATCCATTCTCCTGCCTCAGCCTCCCAAGTAGCTGGGACTACAGGTGTGCACCACCATATGTACTTGTGCACCACCATGCCTCTACTAAAAATACAAAATACTAATTTTTGTATTTTTAGTAGAGGTGAGATTTTACCGTGTTGGTCAGGCTGGTCTCAAACTCCTGACCTCAGGTGATCCACCCGCCTTGGCCTCCCAAAGTGCTGGGACTACAGGCGCCTGCAACCACGTCTGGCTAATTTTCTTGATTTTAAGTAGAGACGGGGTCTGGTTATGTTGTCCAGGCTGGTCCCAAACTCCTGAGCTCAATCGATCCTCCTGCCTTGGTCACCCAAGGTGCTGGGCCTGCAGGCCTGAGCCACCATACCCCGCCCAATTTTTGTATATTTTGTAGAGACAGAGTCTTGCTATGTTGTCCAGGCTGGTCTCAAACTCCTGGGCTCAAGGGATCTTCCCGCCTTGGCCTCCCAGAGCACTTGATTACAGGCATGACTGCATGTGCCGTTGTGCCTATACTTTCTGGAGATACATTGTTAGGAATTTATGTAGTTGGCTGGGCACGGTGGCTCACACCTGTAATCCCAGCACTTTGGGAGGCCGAGGCGGGTGGATCACCTGAGGTCAGGAGTATGAGACCAGCCTGGTCAACACGGCGAAACCCCATCTCTACTAACAATACAAAAATTAGCCGAGCGTGGTGGCACATTCCTGTAGTCCTAACTCCTTGGGAAGCTGAGGCAGGAGAATGACTTGAGCCTGGGAGGCAGAGGTTGTGGTGAGCCAAGATCATACCATTGCACTCCAGCATGGGCAACATATCGAGACTCTGTCTCAAAAAAAAAAAAAAAAGGGAATTTATGTAGTTGAGTAACTATTCTTTGGACGTCTTTCAGTCCAGTAGACGGTATTAAACTTGAAAGACACATAACCATCTGACCTGTGATATTTGTT